TGTTGTTTCATCTAGGGGAATGTGTATGCTTCTGATGTACCCTGTCTGCAGGTTGTACAACCTGGATGCTCTGTTTGATACCTTCGATGAGGGTAAAGATGATGATATGGTCACTGGGAGAAAAGGGATGCCCTTTCACATGCAGTATAAATATTAATATAATTCTCAGCTCTTGTACCTTACAAAAAAAAAAAAAAAGGCTGAGCAGGCTTTCTTTAAATTTTGAGGTGGTCTACCTCTGGCCTAAAAATGACCTTGTGTATTTCTGGGGAAACAGTATCTAGTTAAGAAAGCTATAAATTAATGGAAAAATGTTTTATATCAAGATGTAACATTTCAATTCTTCACTTGTATTGTTTATTTCCGTAACACAGCAACAGAGGTATAGTTAAAAAAACCAATCATGCATACATTTCACTTGTGTACCTGAAGTTGGCTTTTATGTATTTCTTTTTTTCTCGTAAAGCATATGTCATTGTTGTTTGAAATCTGTTAGTGCTTTATTTTATAGAAGTGGATGGAAGAGGGATTCCTAGTTCTGATTTGACCAACAGTGCTTTTCTCAGGAAAAAATATTTTTGGAAACCCAAGCCTTAAAATTGCCAGGAAGCAATGTGTTTGTAGGCTTGTCAAGTAGTAGGCAGTGGAATTCAACTCTTAAAAAAAAAAAAAAAAAAAAAAAAAAATCAGTGCTTTTCCAGCTAAAGCAAAGCTTGGAGTAGAGCATTAGCAGCTTGAGTTGTTTGTGTAGGAGGGTTTGGTGAGACAGAAGCCTGCTCATTTGAGTCAGGTTACCTGCCAGGGACTTCAGCAGAAGCATGCTGCAGAGGTTCTATGGAGTGTGTCTGAAAAAGGTTATTTTTATGGATTGTGCATGTGTGTATGCGTGCGTGTGTGAATGTTCTTATGTATATCTGTACGTGGGTGTCTCTTACCTAACTAGCAGCTGATATGTTTGGGTTTGGTTTTGTGTTTCAATACTATTCTCAAGATACTACTTTTTCTCTTTTCAGGCTTGGATTAGTATTTTAGACTCATAACATACATTACTCTGGAGGTGATGTTTTCCTAACACTTTCAGCTTGGCTTAAAAAGCTGCTTTGCTGGAATGTTTTAAAGGGTTAAAAACCCTCTAGGATTTGAAGTTAATTTCAGTTAATTGAAGGAAACTAGTTTAACTTCTGGCCTCACCAAAGAAATAACTGGAATCATGGATCAGAACAACAGCTTGCCACCCTACGCTCAAGGCTTAGCCTCTCCTCAGGTAAATACAAATAATAGGCAACTGTGATCTGAATTTGGTTTTTGAAAGTGTTTTTAATTTCTTGCATGTAACTTCAGGTTTTTGTTTGCAGATCTGAAAAATTCTGCTAGGTATAGAATGATGCTAGTATAAAGGAGAATTTTAAAACCATAAATTTGTGTATCCAGAAGTATAAGAAATATGCAGATATATGGGGTTCCTTTAAGTTGGAACATGACTGACAAGTTGGAAATACTAATTTAATTTTGGTGGTTTCCCTTTAAACTAACTTGTACATAATGGCCTGTAGCTGGGTTATTAATGCATTTGGTACGATGGGCACAGTCTTTGTTCAAACAGTTGCAAGTTAAATTGTGGGTCAGAGTTGAGACATGCTTGCAAGGGAGTGTGAGAAGCATATCGGCATCACTGTCTGGAGAGGAACAATGCTAGAATTGACAGATCCCTAGAGACAATGCTTTATTGTGTAGAAGAACTGCATTTCCAAATGCTTTCTGTTTTAACGCGTTACTACTATGTGCCTCAGGTTTGATGTGATGAACTTACCTTGATTTATTTTTAGATGACTCCTGCAAGCTTTTTCTCTTAAAAAGAAAATGGAGTCAACAGGATCTGTGGTTTCTGTTTCATGCTTTCTTCTGTAGGGTGCAATGACTCCAGGAATTCCAATTTTTAGCCCAATGATGCCATATGGCACAGGACTAACACCACAGCCTGTCCAGAGCACCAACAGTCTGTCCATCCTAGAGGAACAGCAGCGTCAGCAGCAGCAGCAGCAAGCAGCACAGCAGTCTACATCACAGCAAGTGACACAGGGAACATCGGGTCAAACTCCCCAGCTCTTCCACTCACAGACTCTTACCACAGCCCCCTTACCAGGAACCACACCCCTGTACCCCTCTCCAATGACTCCGATGACTCCAATAACTCCTGCAACACCAGCGTCCGAGAGCTCTGGGATAGTGCCACAGCTACAGTAAGTGTCCCGTGTGTTAGTGCAGCATGTCCCTTCTCAGATAACCCTTTAAAGACTTAGGACCAAAGCCACATCAGGAACGGGGTACTGCATTTTGGTGTGAAGGGAGGTCCGGAGAATTTACGGGTCTCCTCTAGTGATATGAGTAATTTTTGCTTTTATTTTTAGCTTAGCTTCATTACTAAACCATAAACAGTTTCTTAGCATTTGTCAGCCATACATCTTTTAAGCATACCAGCGGAGGATGTTATATATGTCTTAACACCATTGTAACTTTTAACTCTATGCACTTCAGGAGTTCATCGTGCTTTAGCTATAGCCTGGGTTGATAATCTGGTATTTCAAAATATGTATACTTAGAATTTTCATTTGTACTTTACTGGATACTTGTGACCTGTTCGCAGAAAAGCAAATAGCTCTGCTTCGCAAATAGCTCCACTTCACTGCACGTAGAATTTTGTTAGTGAGGTATTAAAGCAGAATACAGGAACTATCACAGCTGAAAAGGAATTAGAGGGGTAGAGGCGAAGAAACTCATTGCTACTCTAGGAGCTAGAGCTGAGTTGTGCTTAATATTCCATGTTCCATTTTCTGTTTTATGACTACAGCTGAGTTTGTAATAAGGGAAGAAAACCTAGAACTAGGTCTAGGTTTAGGTATGAAAGTATTTGCACTGAACTTTAGTTTTAAAGAGACTTCTACAGCAATTTACAGAAGGCCCAAAGATAATGGTTGATACTGTGACTGTTGCACTGATTTTTTTTTTTCCCCATTGAGGACCTTTAGAGTTCAGAGTACTCCCAGAAAATAAGTTCAAAGGGAATTTGCATCTAGGAACTCCTCTTAAACTTTCTAGAGACCTGCTATCCTATTGCCTGGCAATAGTTTTACCTCCTGGGTCATTCCCATTTAATCCTGCACCTCCTCTTCCTCCTTGAAGGGCATACCAAGGAAGATTTCAGATGGTACTATTGTTATCTCATTTTCTCCTGTTTCCAGCAGCGTCCCTGATTATGTGGGGGCTCTTGGCATCAAGGATTTTTTCTGCCAAAGTGAAATAGAGATTCTTCTCATGAGACACTTTTCATAATAGCTGGCAGATAAGAAAGAATCAGCAAATTGCCTTACAAAAGGAGATTCCTGAGCCAAAACACTGCTCAGTGCTTTGGTCAGTAGGAAAGATGTCATTCAAACTCACTTGGATAAACCAATTTAAAAGAAAACCACAAAAAACCCCAAATAAAATTGATCAAGCTTGGTTAAAAATGAGGACGATACATTAAAAGGACAATAAAGAATTCATGTATTTCTCTGAACTGTCTTCAGGAATATTGTGTCCACGGTAAATCTTGGTTGCAAACTTGACCTAAAAACCATTGCGCTTCGTGCCCGAAATGCTGAATATAATCCTAAGGTAAGAGAAATTTATTAGAGTTCATCCTATAACAGGTATGTCAAAGGCACAGGTTGTGGGTGTAGTTTGCTGTAATAGATTGAAAAACCTTCCTACTATAGATGCAGTTTTATACTGTAGTTAAAAAAGAAATCTTTAATAAACTTAAAACGTTTCTATACTGATGTAGCTGTGTTTTACACCAGGTTGTGATTTGGTAGATTTAGAAGGAGCACAGCACGTTTAGGAAGAACCTAACCAACAGTGTAATAATACTCTGGCAACGTTCTTTGTTGTAGAGCTGGCCTCTGCTACTACTCATATGGGCATGTTTGTTTGTTAGGTGCAGAAAGTTCCTTTTTCATGTTACTGTGAAATATCTGACGATGATGAATTCTTGGTCTCTGTCTCTCGACAAGGGAGAAAGGAAGGAAGAATTCAGCTTCTGGGCTCCTGCCAGAGCCATGGTTGTTCTGTGTATGCCGTGCTTCCTCCACCTGGCCGCTCCCCTGGAATTCTTGTGGTTGCAGTGCAGTCACTCATTTTTTACAGTCTTGCTTCCTCTCTGAGCTTTGTTCCTTCATGTTGTCCCCCAGTACTTCCACCATCTCCTTGCTCCCGGTGTCTAGGTGGAGTGGAACAGCAAAATAACATTGATTTTTTTTGCATGTTGATTTTTTTAAGGTTGTCTGGTGCTTCTCGGTAGCAGTCTGCTAAACCGTGGGATTTTTTTTATCTCTGGAAACTTTGAGCAACAGCAGAGGACCTGGAGCATTAAATTAAGAAAATCATGTTGCTTCATTTTTTCTTTCGGGTGGCTCCTTTTGGCAATGTTATTTTTGCACCCACAGTAGTTGGACACTATTTCTAATAAGAGTTTAGATGTTGTGTAGTTGAACTGACATGCATTGGGGAGGCTTCAGTTTTCCTGGGCTGTGGCATTTTTTTGGTTTAGTATTTGGGATTTTGCTGCAATTTACCTGAACTCTGCTCTCTTTATTAAAGCATGCATGCAGGCAGGCATATGTGGTAACTGTTACTGTAAGTTTTTATCAGTGATGATGTTTCATAATTGCATGTGAGTAGGATACTAGTGCAGCAGAAGTTTGAGCGTGCCATGGTGACTCTTAAGCCAGGGGTAGGTGGCTGTGTAAAACTTATAGGCTAGAATAATCAATACGAAATGCTGTTTTCCCCAGGGGAGAGAAAGAAGGGTTATGTAACACACCCCTGACTTCTAGTCAGTACATTGCTCTACCAGTGCAATGGTAAATACCCCTGCTGTCCAGCTCTACCTCAGTGTGTGTTTGAAGCTACTGATGATTTAAGCATTTCAAGTAAATTTGAAGTGATCCATAAGTATGTTTGAACTTAGTATTTCTTTGCAGTACAGTGTAAATTGCTACTTAGATTATGCAAATTTGGTTTTAATGTAATGATTACAGCAATGTATCACTAATAGTCTCAACGGTCACATTTCAGCGTTTTGCTGCTGTTATTATGAGAATAAGAGAACCACGTACTACTGCACTTATATTCAGCTCTGGAAAAATGGTGTGCACAGGAGCGAAAAGGTATGTTTAGGCATTACTACAAGCAAACTAATTCAGGCTGTCTTTTCTCTTGTACTGTGATGCTTTGTAAGTCCTGTAATTTGTATGTATACAACAAAGTTGTACAGGTACAACTAAGCTTGCTTCCCAGTTATTTCAAATAGACTAATATACGTTTCTTCACAAAATGTCCTTTCATGACTAAAAGGACTTCGCTACGAAAGGGGAAATGGTAGTTCTGCTTCTGAAGCTCTTTCATACAGTCTAATAAACTTTTTTGCGGAGGTTATTATATTCAGGTTTTTTGCTTTGCAGTTATCTTTTTTTTCCTAATAATTAAAAAATTTCAGTGACTGTACACTGAAACTGCTTAAACTGTAGGGGCGGTGGCAGAGGAAGAGTGATTTTACATTTGGATAGGCCAAGAGCTCCAAGTCTCTGGTCCCTGTAGTCTGATCTGTTCTTAACATGATCATTGAAGCATAAGAATTGAAAACTAAACATAAGCTTAACTCCAGGGGGCAGGAGAGAAATTCTGCTCTGAAGAAGTCTATTAGGAATCCAGAAGGAATAAGGTGTTGAGCAGAGGTGAATGAATAGAGCTGTACAGGAAATGCTTTCTTTGCCTGGTGATGCTTGTAGTTCAAGTTGTCTAATTCTGCGTTAGGAGCAACCAGATCCGCAGCTGTTTACAAAACTAAAGCAAACGGAGTTCTACAGCAGCGTGTAAGGCTGTGCAGTGTGTTAAGCCCAGGTTTGAATACCTGGGCTGAATCAAGCAGAGGATTTCGGCAGTTTACAGATTTTTATAGAAATACGTGTTTTCTAGCAGTTGTAGTTCAAAATTGTTCTACACAGAAAACTTAAGTAACAGTTCTCATGTCTCACTAGAGAGATTCAAGTTGATATTTTAAGAGTGTGAAATATGTGGATTTATGGCTGAACAGCAAGTACAACATTAATGGCGTTCAGGATACCAGTACTAAAATTAGCATGCAAATCAGTGCTAGCTCTTAATTTTGGTTGTAAAAATTTTGCATGTGACCTTCTCTTCCTCCTCAACACAGACATTTTTCACAATTAAATATTTGTGTTTTAATGTTATTTGCTTCAAGTAATACTTAACTGAGGAAATAATATGGATATCCTTTTCTCACTTCAGTGAGGAGCAGTCCAGACTGGCAGCAAGGAAGTATGCAAGAGTTGTTCAGAAATTGGGTTTTCCTGCAAAATTTTTGGATTTTAAAATTCAGAACATGGTCGGCAGCTGTGATGTGAAATTTCCTATCAGATTGGAAGGACTGGTACTCACGCACCAGCAGTTCA